GGGAGGGAGCAAGGCCTAAAGCCCCCCTAAATTTGAAAAAGTAGAAAAAAGAGGGGAGCTAAAACCTTCCAAAGATAAGGTTTATTATATATTAAATATTCATAATTCCCCGCTATGTGGCTTGAAACAGTTGTTGTAGGAAGTTAAATCAAGGTTTCTGTGTGTCAAATCGCCGTCCTGATTTCAGAGAGTATATACTTCAAAATCTTTTTTGGAGGGAGGGACCATAGATATCTGATATACACTAGATAGTTCATCTAATTATTCTGCAATTCAAAAATTGAAGCCGTGATTGCAGTCTCAGGTCGTTCCCATGAAATGAGAAGATTCGTATATTTCCTATTTCTTAAGCAGGGAACTTAAATATTAAGTTAACCCTTTTCCAAATACATTTTTAAAGTATTCAAATGATGAAAGTTATTGTTGTTTTTAAGTGTTTATTAGCGAGTGGGAACGACCAACATGGCCGCCATCTATTCAAATGGGGGTAACCGCTGGAATATTCTTGGCTTCAATTTTACTAAAAGAGATGCGCTATCTAGTGTATATAAGATATCTATGGGAGGGACATGCCGCCTATGCCTTCAGCAATTTGTAATATGCCACAGTATATGTGGGAAGTTCCAAAGAAAGGCCTTTTAATGTTCTTAGTTGCTCAAGATGACTATTGTATTACAAAACTATTCGGCAACAGGAAAATAAAACGCTGATAGGGTGGGTTGTAATTTTTCAGCAATAATTTAAGGGTGGGCTACACGTTTTTACACGCAGCTATTAAGGGGTGGGCTACAAAAAATGCGGACACCATATACACGATTTTTCCAATCCCCCCCCTTTACTTTATGACAAATCTCTAATTATAGTGTAACATTCAACAGCAGGTTGACTGGTTGACCTTGCGTGTGACCTCAAACAAAATTTACTACGTGGAAATTGTCAACATAATAATTGTGACATTGTTTTGATAGACTATAATATAAATTCATTTAATAAATAGTACTTTTAATATAATAATTGATGTTTTTATACTCAATACCATGAATACAGTCGATGTGCGTGTTCTGGACGAGCAACGAAAACAAATATCATTTTTGCGAACGATCGACGAGAAAATTAGCCTTGTAATGCGCCGATCAAAACGAAGGTGTAACATCCCCCCCCCCCCGGCATATACCCGGGCATTTGACTTTTTGGATTTTGCAATGATCAAATTCCCCACCCCAAGTCAAAAAACAAAGTTCAAATGCCCTACATTCCACAACTAAGTTGTGGTCAAATGCCCCATTGTAAATTTAATTTGAAGGTTGAAGTATTGAGTTCTTGAGGCCAACCAGTCGAAGCAGTTTTTCCCACTTTTCTTGAAAGTTGATGAAAAATACATATTTCTAACTTCTAATTTTATCAAATACCTTCAAAAGTTCCCTTTAACTTCTCTAGTCCATTCTGGGACAACCAATTTTCAACATAACTTATATTTTGGCCACGAAACTCACTTATTAATGTCGCCATTTTCTCAAAAACTCGAAAAGTCCGAAAACACAAAAGCAAAAAATGTGCTTTTGATTGATGCATAAATGCCTGCGGTTTCTTGTGTCAGCGGAAAGCAAGACAAGACTATCTATGCTTCATGTTAGGTGATCTAAAAGTTTTTTTAGTTGTTAAAATCGGTCAAATTCCCGTCCTCATTATAAGTGGAATCAAATGCCCCACCACTTTAAATCTTCCCGACAACAAATGCCCGCCCCTAGGGAAAATCACGAAAGGTAAATGCCCCTCTCGTGCCCGGGGGGGGGGGGTGTTACACCTTCGTTTTGATTGGCGCATAAGGTTACGGGAGTTAATTAACACAATGTCTAAAACCGCTTCTTATGATTTTATTTACAAGAATGTGCCTATTTCAACAAAGCAAGAGAGTATTGTTCGTTTGATGGAAGTTGCAAGCAGATCAGAAAGTAACAAACTTGAACTTGAAATTTATATCCGATTTAGATTAAAGCGGCCAATTTCACCTAAAATTGAAATAACTACGGACACAAGAAAACAACAGCGTTTGCCAATGAAACCGTCAGACCAAGGTCAAGTGCAAGCCCAAAGCCAAGACAAAAATGTTCGTGTTTTCACAGAGGAGGAAATTCATGGGACACCATTAATTTCAGTTTTTGAGCGTGAAAAGCGAATTCATTAGCAGCTAAGCTTGAGAACCACCCCACTTATAAGTCCTGGTCTGTTCAGGAAAAGCATGGCATACTTGACACTGAGTGGACCTTAAAATTTACAGAATTACTAAAGCTGGAAGCAGACAAAAAACTTGTTGGCGAAGCTGGCGATGAGTACGGGCGTAGTATTGCCAAAAATATCGATAAGCTCCAAAAATCAGATTTTGAACGAATGACATGCTACAATAGAATAGAAAGATTAAATAAAGTCACCATAAAAACTGATGAAATCAGAAAAAGTATTGAAAATGAGGAAAACCATTTGCACGAGCTGTTCAGCAAGTTAAAGCTTGCTCAGTCAGACCTAGCCAAATGCCTCAGCCAACCTGCATTCTTTAAGGCGGAGACGAAAGATATAGCCTGTGATCTTATAAAAGGCGACGACAATTTTGTGGTTGGGGATCTCAATCTGGCCCAGGAACAGGTCGAAGAAATTGCAACGCAAACAAAAGCCGAGAACGAAATAACATCCGACAACTAGTGTGACAGATGTTACATCTGATTGAATTAGTCAAATCATCTCTTCATGCTGTATTATAAAATTTGACTTGGTTCAGAACATTTGCTAATGTTAATATTTAATATTGTTTGACATATTTTGTTGAGTTTTGTATAGTTTGAACTATACTTCAAAGTTGAGGGTCTGCATGATGACAGTTTATGAGAGTTGGCTGTCAAACGCGAGCGAAATTAAGTTGAAACTCTCTTCAACTCTCGTCCTCGTTTGGCCGGGGCTTTACTAAACAGCCCTGACCTGGCTGTCCAGCTGAATAGCTGGGGTCATATACATGACAAAATCTGCCTAATTAAAAATGTGATTTCAGCCGCGCCGGAAATTTTTAATCGGCTCGTATTTGCCTGATTTCAGGTCAATTGTGCTTTTTGAAATAATACAAAAAAGTGTCATTCAAAAGCTAAACCCCTAATTGTTATTAATATGGAAAAATTAAATCTGTGCACTTAATATTGAGGGCACAAGAGCACACTAAAGATGGATTACCCTTTTTATATACACCCTGCATGCATGTACATGCAACAACAGCTTACAGCTATATAAATTTTGGCGTGGCCATGCCTATATTTCAGCATTTCTCAAGTATGACCATGTGACATGTCGCAATGCTTTCGCACTGATCAAATGGCGGCACTCGCAGTTTAATATCCGGTGTACACTGAAATTTACTACTGTTTATATCATATCTTCAACAATTATTACGATTTAGTGATTTAAACACCAGGTTTCTTATGGCAGCTTTTCCATCCAAATTAGAAGTGCAGGAAGATTTATCTTCATTGCAAAATTCGATAATATAAAACAATACAGATGTTATCGTTAGCTTGAAACGAAAGTACATGCAGTATTTACCATCTGAGCTGTTCAAATATGGCCCTTCACTAAAACGTGATTTTTTATCAACGTGTATTTTACCGAGAGATATCCCAAGTAATATGGTGCCAATCAAAACAGGGGCGGATTTAGACCGTTGCAACTGTAGCATATGCTACGGTCAGATTTTCCATAGGCCAGTTCTAACATGGATCATAAAATCAATCTAAAATATAATTTAGCAATATTTTGTTTACTTTCCTTGTTTATATTTCAAGGTTTTATTTTATTTAGTTTTATATGTTCTAAAACATTTTATTTTGACAAATTGATGACATTTATAATACGTAACGTTAATTGTTTTAAGAATTCCCGCCCGAAAATACGGTTGTAATTGCCCGTTTGCGGGTCATTACGCAATGGACTATAGCTTAGAAAATATCATCCTTCAGAAATACACCGTAGCGTGTTGCCCATATATGATCAATTTTCGCTACGGTCAGATTCATTAAGGTCGAATCTGACCGTAGCGAAAATTGGCATATACGGCATTCTGATTGGTTTGCTACGGTCAAACGTAGCAAACCAATCGGAATGGGGCAAATGCTATAGTTTGCTACGGTGGCATGAAATTGGCTACTGCTCCAGAAGGATGGAATATCTGATATTTGTGTTTGGCTCATCAACAACATGATATTGGGAACCCACAGTACGGTTGTGCGCTTTTCGAAATGAAAGCCGTCGCAAAGCTAAAGGATTTATATGCGTCGAGGTAGAAATAAAATCAGATAGTAAAACGAATCATTTCCAGGCAGGTAAGCCTTATGAATGATAAGAGATGCACATTATATTTTAATTTGAGTTTTTACTGTATAGTGTTCGCTATTAACTTCGCTTTATTAAAGTGTTTGTGCGCGTATGTACAGTATACCTGCATGTATTGGAATTAATACGCGAATTATGATACGCGCGTATATATATCGTGTTTTATAGCGCGCTAATATTTGTTTGTAATGCGTATATATTCGTAAGATACGCGTATTCATATCATACGCGCGTTCATATGATATGCGTATTCGTATGATACACGCGTTCGTAGATGATACGCGCATTTCGGTATTCAATTGATAATGATATGCATATGATACGAGTATCATACCGATATCGTATGTTAAAATATACGCGAGCAATAATTTACATTTTGAGGTCATTTCGGCTTATTTTTGCTTGAGAAATGAATACAATGAGGACAAATTTAATGGTCACATGCAGTGCTCAGAACGCAGGAAATGGCATTTCCGGGCTTCAAATTTCAAAAACTTTCCGGGGGGGCATGCCCCCGGACCCCCCTAGCTATGCGAGGTCTTGGAAAATGCTACGGTCAGATTTTTGGCTGGATCCGCCCCTGCAAAACAACTGGTAATGGGGATTGTCTTTTCAACTCTTTCTCAATTTGTTTGATAGGAAATGAAAATTTAGGTGGAGTACTTCGTCTCCTTACAATCAGGGCCGCCGAGAGGGGGGGGGGGGCAAATTGCCCCAGGCCCCGAGTTGCTGGGGGCCCCTGAAAAATTTTTGTTGGGCCCCAGCCTTTTTTGTGTGTTAAATATTTCCGCGCAAAGGAGAAGATAGCTGTTTTCTTGGGCTAAGTACCGAATTTTGGCATAAAAAAATGAGATAAAGTCCCTCGAAAGCAATTGCAACGTACTCGTCCGGAAAAATTTTGTACTCCGGAAAATTTTTTTTACCCCTAAAATGGTACACTGACCGAAAATGTTTTGGCGACGGGGGGGGGGGGCGTTGTTTTCGGGGAAAAAAATTTTCCCGGAAAAATTGCCCCGGGCCACCGCCAACCTCTCGGCGGCCCTGCTTACAATTGTCGAAATATATCAGAATTCTATGCAAACCATCGCAGGTATTGTATTGCGTTTCGTTGCACAGTAAAAACCCGCATAAAAGACCACTATTTTTTATTTCAGGCTGAAGTGGTTCTTATATAATCTTAACTACTTCACACTATACTTTTTTTTCTATTCTACACTTTAATAGGGACTGTTGTTGTATATAACTATGTATTGCTATGACACCAATATGGTTCTCATTACCTATATCTAAACTAAAAAAAAAACTTTTAAAAACTTGTATTTTGGGTGCTTAATTGCCTAAATTTCAGGCTGGTAGTTCTTAATCCACTGGTTCTTTTATGCAGGTTTTTACTGTATATTGTATATAAAAAAAGCGATTGATGGAAAAATCTATAATAATTTGTGAAAAGAACGGAAAGAGAATAACATGACGAGCCTTAAACTAATCTGGTGTTGGGAGGGGCGCAGGGCCGGCTCATGTGCCCCACATCTATTAGCTAGCTCCGTCCCTCCTGGATATGGATTGTTGCATGCCTGTTTGCTTTGATATAATTGTACGCGTACTGCAGCGTGGGGATTTCCCCTTGTCGATAACACGGTAACTGTAACTGATTTAAAGTTTGTCTTGAACTTACATTTATTTTTCATGACAGATTCAACGAGGTAGAAACGAGTTACAGTAAAATTTCTTTCTTTGTTTGTTATGTCCTTGTCAGTGGACATTTCAAATGGAAACAACGCAATGAAATGCTTACGACAGCAGGTTATTCATACCTGTTATCCTGGAAATTGGTCTGGACTGATCCATATGATGGCATTATCATCTGTAATTAAGCGTCCAGTTTTCTCGGTTTACCCGGAATCAAGCCCAGCCATACGT